TCGGTGGCGATTTTCTTCTTATGCTTGATTCGCACCACCAAGACTTTGCACCTGGAATTTGCATGTGTTTGGCGCAGTACACGTCAATAAGGTTGGAGCCGGTTGCGGCAACTCGCAGGGGGTTCCGGACTCGATCTGCAAAGCTGGGCGCCAGACCGCACGCCGAAATAACTTCTAGGACGGCCTTATCAGAGGCACAGACTGGTTTTCGAGGCGAGCGTTCCATCACCGCAGAGTGTAGTCCACAATGGAAGTCTCCTAAGCACGTGGCATTGTTGAGTTATATGCCGAATAAAAATCACTGCGGTAAACAAAATCAGAGCAGCAATCAAACTAGCTACAGAGCAACAAACATTATTTTATAATCGAAACGCATTATAAATGGTGCATTTGTTATCAGAGTATTTACAAAGAGTTGTTTTATTTTACAATTTCGTAATGAATAAAAAGTTTTTTATCTTCAGCATTCTGTCATCATTTGATCTAAATATGGAATTTATTAGTAACTTTCGAAAGTAAAAACTTGTAAATAAAAAATTACTATTCAGGAGTAGATATGCAACAATAATACTTAATGTATTATTTACTTTTGGACTGTATAATTCTACAAAACTATGGTTTATTGTACCTCACCTTCTGGGTAAATGACTCCCCAACCTCCCATCACTTTTTTGTTCACCTCCCTGATTCTTGAATCGAATCTGAGATGGTCCCTTGTTTTGTTCGTGGACATAAATCTAACTTCACTATCTGTGCACGTTTTCTTGATTTCAATGTGGAATATAGTTATTCAAATTAACGATTATGTTCTTTCGGAAGTTAGTCGATTGCTTCCAAGAGCACGATTAGGGATAATAGTTAAAATCTTTTGCTGATTTGCTTTGGAAATATTTTTTACTACAATTATAATATAGCTAATATTTTCTTATCAATTCTTGTCAAATCGAACGTGTCTACCTATTTTCATAATTTATCCTGTGTTTGGGTAAGAGTAGATTTCTTAGAATTTAATAAAAAATTCACAGATAACACTTCTCCAGAGCAATTCACACAATTTTTAACACTTTATGTTAAGTAAATAAATATCCATTAGCAGCTCATACTGACATTGCGACCCTACTGTCGAGATTGTGGCACGATAACAATTGAGTGCCCCGATTCTAGTGAATCAATTTTAAAAAAATATTGAAAAATGTAATTTTAATTTCGATTATTTTAAAATCTACTATTATTTACTCGTCTATGATTATTTGAAATGTCTGATATTAATATTATAGTATTCCTAATAATATTGATAATCATGATAAAATAATAAGCTAAAAAAAAGTACTTTTAACCAGTAGAGAAGGGGAAAATTCCATTGAAATATTAAAAGCAATAAACATGAAGTTAAAGAAGTTGAAGAGTCCAAAAATAAAGTGAATATACAGTTTAGAATCAGAATTCGTATCAAATGTCACTTTTTACGAGATATTGCACGATGTACTATATACGAACGCGCATAAATATGATTATGTGGGCATTTCGTCTATTAACAAATTTACAAATTTCCCGTTACGTGGATCTTAATAAATAGTGACAGTGTCGACTAGTTGACGTCACTGAAGTTTCGAGAAGACCGGTAAGGATAATGACAAAAAGGAAGATTTTATCCCAGAAATAAGGTCACTTCAAGATTACAATGCCGTAGAAAGAATGTGTCTAAATAATTACAGTGAGTTGCACAAGTGTTTTCCCAGGAACTCTTTGCTCAGGGAGATGTAAATAATAATGCAAATAATCATTGTAAAATGTAAAATGTTCATAGATTATTACCAAATTGTAATCTCAAATACTCAAAATAATATTCTCTAGTAATGTAACATTTCAAATATTAATTGTGTGCCATTGAATAAGAGTGACTATTTTTTTTTCTTTGTGTAGCTGTACATATTTGCAGGACTATAATCATTGTTGTCCTGCAAATGTGTGAAGTTACACAAAGAAAAGAAAAAAATATTGGTGTAAACATGAACTTAATTAGACTGCTAGCTCCAGTGACGAATACTTGAAAATTAAAGCTATGTTTATCATGGAGAGAGAGACCAACGGTATTCTTAACATTATTTACTGCCCGTTCATTTTCTGAGTTTTGTATTCGGTTGTGGAATGTATATTAACCCTGCATTCAATTCTAAAAACGTGTTAGCAGCCAGTGTCTACGTGACTAATCCCATGCATTTCTGGGTTCATGTTTGAGACGTGTTCATAATTGCTTCGGAGTCAACCGTGGAAAGAATCATGAAAAAGAATCATACTTAACATTTTCTTATTTTCTTTCTAATTTATTCGAATGTATTAGAAGTCAGTTTAACAGAAGCCTATTAATGTCAAGTGATATTATGAGAAACCAATTGAGGGTCCTTGGAGTTAGCATCATTTGTTCGACCACATTTTTCTTCCATTGCAGCTCCTATCAAATCCACAAAACATCCGGTGTACTGGGCCACACCGCCGCTATGCCGCAACACATTGACGCAAATGTTGCAATGACGCAAATCCTGCCCTATCGGATACGGAACTTTGAGCCTTAAAGTCATTTGGATGCTAATTCTGAACGAGCAGCAAGTCTGACGATGACCCTCACTGCATCTACAGAGTGAGTCGCAACTTGTGTAATGTTATTGTATAATGCACTCACACTAAATACAATTTTTCTTTGATCATAAAATAAGTAATTTAAATGTAATGGACACAGATTGGAATGCTCACAATGGAATTTTGTAGTCCCGTACGATCAACAACTTTAAGCAATGCAATTATAAAAATTTTGGAATATTATTTTTTGGCAATATCGATTGCACGGTTTAGGCGCTAGTGTTGACTAAACCGACAGAAAGACGTTTTTCCATCCCTGGATTATTTGTTACCAAGGACCCCAAATCATAGATTCTGACACAATTTATTTATATTATTTTATTATTTTCCCCGCAGCATTAGAATACTTTCTCTATACTGTTTAAAAAGTATGCGGCAAAGTAAAATTGCGTTCACATCAACCACTGTAATAACCGCCATAATGTTCATTTCAAAAATTGAATTTTTAATAAAATGTCATGTGTATCCAGCTCACAACGTCACAAGACGCCATTATGTTTTTTGATTCTATTAACGGATAACTTTATAATGACAGTTCGCAACTAATGGTTACATTGGTATTGTGGAGAGTTTTCGTTGGCATTTTCAATGAAATAATAATATGAGTCATTATTGCCAACAATATTGCTGGAATTATTTAATGGTTACATACCAACTTTGCAGTTAAATATTCATTATTTCGTCAATTGTCTCTAGTCTTCTTCGGATATTGGACTAAATTTGTATCTGAAAGTCAATACCAACTAATCACATTTCATAAAAATCTAATCCAAACACAGAATACATTCCAATACGAATTTATTTATTTGCAACTGTAAGCGTATCTTCATTTGTAGTTAGAGCACAAATAAAACAATTCTGTCCAACATATCGACCTTATATCGTAATTATGATAGCTTGGTGAAGCAAAGAGTAAATCACAACTTATTTCATCACCTAGTCACCAAAATAAGTTCAACAGTTACATAGAAATTATAATTAAAAAAAACGTTTCTTGTATCGCAATTTACATCCACATCATCCTCATAGCTACCTAGCATGACATAATGGTAAATAACTTTGGCCAAATCATTTACTCTATGCTTGTGAACTCTGTTTACTCAACCCACTCAATGGTTCGATAGATACAATACATTGTACTTTCTATACTGCACCGTGAAGATTGTTAGCTGTTTAATTTTAAAAGTAAATTAGCATGCAATGTTTTAAATAAAACAGTAATTTCCTTTCGACCATTTGCTTATACTTTGCTCTACTGACTTAATCTGGTTTTATATCTTTACATACACTTGCAGACATAATATGAAATGGAATGTCTTGACTTGTATTCCGTCGTTACCATCACATTTATCATATTTCAATCATATTTAGAAAGAATATGATTGAAATGAAATATGAATATGAGAGAATATTTACTATTCCAGCAAAATTTCCCGTAAAATGTAATCAGAAAGTGACTTACATGTACACGTCTCCTGCACTAGTGTATTATTAGGTCGATTTTTTACCTCTCGGGCGCGACACTTATTACAAGACTGATACGCAAGACCGTAGAACACATTGTACAGATTATATACTGATTATAGACTTAACATAAACATTTGCAAAGACACAAATATACTGCGCACATTTTTTGTAAATTATGATTGAAGAAGAAACTACCGTAACATTGTCATCATGTATGTACTCCACTTTGCGGTTGCAGCGCGATCTTGTATTTGGTTTGTTACGATTCGTTGCTTACTAGTGATATTGGTTAGATGTTATTGTTATTATTACATTTTTTCTTTTTTTAATTTTCCTTTGTTACATCTCAATATCTTAGACAGGCATTTAAATCGTTAATAATCACATAATTTAATTTACGTTTCGAGCCACACTGTAGCTCCATTATTAGGTATAAACTGTAATATATTAAAATACACTGGAAATATTAAGAAAGGTAGAAGGTAAATTATATATTTAAATAAAAAAGCTACGTTGAATGTCATCTTATAATGGAAACCTCACACTCATAATTCATTATTACGAATAAAACTCCAATTCGCAACACATATCCACATAAAATGTGTAACTTAAATATTTGTCATAATGCTATATCTAGTAGGAATAATATAGGGAGAAACTAACAGGTAAACATGTTTTCGCACTTGGAACAAAAAGGGGGTGAACCAGTGGTGCCAATTAGATGTGCCAGTGGTGTGAAGCTAAATCATTTTTTCAGATGATGTAAAACCGAATTATATGTATTAGTGAAGGCATTCGATTATTTTACAGTATTTAATGTCTGATTAGCTTTTATGTGAAGCGTTTCTAATATTAATCTTATAATTACAGTTGCGATAATCCATGTGTGTTCTCAGGTCAACCATGTCTGCATCCGAGTGCAACTCCCGCCTGATCAGCGCGGACCTCGAGTACAAGTTGGCCGGCCTGGTGAGCGCTCGGCTGCGCGCCGAGCGGCGGCGCCGGCCGAAGCTCAACCTGCGCTTCAAGCTGGCGTCCAACTTCGCGGAGCGCGACCCGGTGAGCGAGCTGGCCCTCACCGTCAAGTGGCTGGAGGACGGCAAACGCCGCCGCCTCACCTACTTCGTCCAACTCAAACCCACCTCCTCCACCACCAAGCCAGTCACCGTCCGCGAGCTGCAAGCCGAAGACGGCAACTTCAGCCTGGTCAAATGCTACCAGCAGTATAAAAACCTACGCGCGCAGATGCAGGCCGCCCACAACGGGTCTGTGAAACGCAAACGCTTCTGCAGCTCGTTACTGGACGACTGCAGGTTCGTCATCTTCTCCAGCCGGGAGGTGTTTCGCGGCCGCCTGAGTTCCAAGGCCTCCTCCGCCTTGTTGTTTCCGTTCGAAGACGTCTTCTCCACCGGGGTGGGAGAAGTGTTTTCGTTCGGCGAACGGGACGAGGAGGTGTGGAGCTTGTTGGACGGGGAGGACAAGGCAATTTTCCGCAAGGAGTTTCTCCCGAGGCTGCGCATCTTCTGCGGGCAAGCGCCGGCGTCAGCGCTGGACCCGCTGCTGACCAAGGCGCTGGCGGACGCCGTCGGCAGCCCTTTGCCGCGGGAGCAGGCCGTGGTCGAGCGCCTCAACACCGCGTTGCGCCTGTGGTGGCAGCGAGCGGACGGTCGCGCGCTGTCCGAATGCAGCCACGAGATCGACGAGGCGTTGAGGGAAGACATCATGGCCACCGCGGACACCAGACGGTTCGACTTCCACGAGCAGAGTTGTCACGAGTTGAGTGAAGTGTTGAGGGTGAACAGATGTGTTTACTTGACGGTACCCGGCGTGTCGTGCAACGTGCGTTGTTCCAAAATTAGGAAAGTTTTGGAAGAAAATTTGAAACTTATTTCTAAGTTCTCAAGACGTTTTATCATCCTATCGGAATCAACTTTCCATGAGTATCATCATGAAGTTTTAGAATCTCTGTGCGCGGACTTCTGTGGTGTTTTAGTAGTAGACTTAGACAATTATTCTGATAAGATACTAAACTTTTTACTCCGTGTTATCGATGAAGTCCAAAAATTGGTGGTACTGTCGTCTTCATTCATCCCTAAAATCCAAAACTTCTTCCGGAAGCACGGACGGTTGTACAAAGAATACGAAGACACTTGGACTTTGGAGCAGTTATCCGCAACCCAGCAAGAGCAGCTGTTGCGACGACGAGTGGTGTTCCAGGGTTACGAGATGTCGCTAGGTGAGCTGGAGGGAGCGTGGCCATCATTGAGGGCGGTGGTGGGGGGAGCAACTCTCGAGGCGTTAGAAGGAAGTCGACAGGTTATGCTCGGCGCGCCGCTTCCGTCCGAACACCCAAACTACGTTCCACGGAAGTTACAGCATCGCTCGCAGCTCCGTGGAGATGTGTTTGACCATCGAGATGGCCGCGATTACTTCCTCCTCACGGGCTTCCCGGAAGGTGTCTTGCAACGGCTGCGTTCTCCGACCTCCGGGTGGGAGGAGCGGGAACTCATGGAAGTTGGTACAACTGAGGAGCAACCTACGCCTTCTAAGATAATGCCTAGGCAGGGTTCGATTGGTAAAACTAAATGGTGCGTGTGGGAAAAAGTTTCGCCGCCTGATAGACTGGCCGAGAAGTTGCGAGAAAACGTACACTGGTTGGCATTCGAAGGGTCTACCATAATCTGGAAGCACACATATGGCGACAGCCAAGTACTAGGAAAGTATGTTGATAGACAAAGTTTAAACTGCCAGAACACCTACGTATGCAGTCATAATGACATGGACGATTTTTTAAATTGGAATAACCCAACTATTTTGCTAGCAGGTGACGTTGGTATCGGGAAATCTGCTTTCATGATTCGAATGGCAAACAGAATAAAACAGGGTAGAAAAACGCACTGGGTAGTTCTATTGACAATTAACCAAGGACAGGTGCTTGAGAGTTTACCAAGCCACATCAAACTAGACGACGTAGTGTATTTACTTGAAAAGTCAACGCAAAATGAAGACTGCACGCAAAACAAATTGACCAGACATTTTCTGAAGGACTGTTTAGAAAAATCTGGAAGCATCGCAGTTCTGGTAGACGTGGTCGCTGAAATCTGCCCGATGCACATGGCAAAAGTGCAGCGCATACTTACGCTGATTCAAGAATCCCGCGGTCAATACTTGTGCGTCGCAGCCACAACATCATCTGATTCTGCTCTTAAGAATGTGCTTAAGTGTTCTCCATCAACCCTACAACCATTCTCTTCAGAGAACCAACAACGGTATCTCCTTGCGCAGTGGAGCGAAGGCATGAACACAATAGAACGAGCTAATTTACAAAAGGGAGTGCAGAAACTCGTCGAAATAGTCGGCGAAGTAACGGATTACGAAGGACGCAGGATCTGTGAAGTGCCTCTCTACACACGTATGCTAGCTGTTGCCTACAACGGAGAGGAACGTACGACTTTACTACGGAACTGCGAGGCAGGTGTCGACCTAAAAATGAGTGCCCTAACTTTGTACAGAAAATTTGTACAAGAAGCTCGTAAATCATTTCGCCGCAAGAGAAAAATGGACGAGAAAACATCAACTTTACAAAAAGAAGACTTCATCAACAAACTTAAGTCGTATGCGGCGTATTTATGCTTCAGTGATCGTAAGCTTTTGGGGGAATTCTACGAAGAGTGCAAGAAGGCCGGTTGCGAGTTGAAGACGTTGGAATTCGACGCGTCGGCGGGCCTGTTGAGGAAGCGCGCGACCGGGCACGTGGGGTTCATGCACCACACGTTCCGCGAATACTTCGCGGCGCTGTGGTGCGCCGACCGCTTCCAGCAGCTGCCGCACCTCGTGCGCGTGCTGTACACGCCTCGCGGCGCACGCGTTCGCGGCTTCTTCGACGCGCTGCTGGCGGAGGGCCACGCGCTGCACGAGGCGGCGCTGAGCGGGCGTTGCGGCGCCGTGGAGGCGGCGCTGGCGCACGGCCACCAAGTGGAACGGAGACGGACCGGCGGCGGGCGGCGGGCGCTGCACTGGCCGGCCGCCTACAGGCCGCCCGCCCGCCGTGCACGCGCTGCTGGCGGCCGCCGCGTCGAGGCGCGCGCGACCACGTGCGCCGCCGCACGCCGCGCTGCAGTCACGCCGACGAACGCTGCGGCTGGGCGCGGCCGAGCGCGCTTGCTGGAGGCCGGGGCGGACCGAGGGATTTGGTGGCCATTCCCCGGGCGTTCGCCGCGGGGGGCGTCACCTACGCGACCTGGTGGCCGGGACATGGTGCGCACGGATGGGCGTGCTCACGCACCCCGAGCGCCGCTGCCCACCGCCGTGAACCGCCAGCGTCCGCCCGAGCCGCCCGCCGGGAGATGTGGGAGGAGGCGGCGCGCGGTGGCCGGCAGCGTGCCACGTGGCCGAGATCCTCATGAGCTCGGGGGTGGACATGCACCGGAAGACCGCGTCCGGGATGACGGCGCTGCACATCACCGCCTTTCCGGCAACGAGGACTTCACGCGCCTGCTCCTGCGGCACGGGGCGCACTTGAACGAGGTGGAGCCGGCGGGGAGACCGCCCTGCACAAGGCGGTGCGCTGCGGGCACGCCTCCTCTGCCGGCAGCTGCTAGCCTTCGACGCTGACCCCAACCGTCGGGACCGCCTGGGGAGGACGCCAGTGACCAGTCGGTACTCATCGACACCGCAGATGGCCGGGCTGTGGAGCCTCTCCTGGAGCAACAACGCGGAGGTGAACGCGCAAGACCACCGAAGGCACGACTGCGCTCCTGGCGGCGGCGCGGTCGGCAACGAGGCGGCGTGCCGCATCTGCTGTCGCGCGGGCCAACGGTGGGCCTGGGCGACGCGCGCGGCACCACGCCCTGCCCGCGGCGGTGAGGGCGGCGACGAGGCCATCTGCCGCCTGCTGCTGGGCCGCGACGCCGACGTCAACGCGCGGACGCGGACGGCCGCACGCCGCTGCACCGCTGCGCGCGCAGCGGCCAGACGCCTGCGCGCGTGTGTCGGCTGCTGCTGGAGTTCGGCGCGCAGGCAGTGGACGCGCGCGACGCCGCCGGCTCCACGGCGCTGCTCACGGCCGTCCGCGCCAACAAACGTCTACATGACGCGCACGCTCTTCCGGTACAAGCCGACCGTGAACGCGTGCGACGCCACCCAACGCACCGTGCTGCACGAGGCCGTCATCGCCAAGAGGAGACGACGTGCGGTTGTCGTGGACCTGGGGCGACGTGCACCGCCCGGACGCCGACGGCTGCACCGCGCTGCACTTCGCGTGGCGCTGCGCAAGAGAACCGTGTGCCGCCTTGCTGATCGAGCGCGCGCCGATCGTGCGGTGCGAAGAGCTGTGCGTCCGCCGCGCCGCTTGCACGGGCGGCGCCCGCGGCCTCCTGTGGATCTCGCGCCTGCTCATCGAGCACGGGGCGGACGTGTGCTGCGTGGACGCGCGGGGCACGAGCGTGCTGCACTGCGCGGCCGCGGGAGGCCACGAAGCCCTGTGCTGCCTGCTGTTGCAGCAAGGCGCCGACCCCAACGTGAAGAACGCGCGCGGCCGCTCGGCGTTGGCCGACGCGTCCGCCGCGGGCCACGAGACGGTGTGCCGCATGCTGCTGGAGTACGGGGCGGACGTGCTGTCGAGGGACGGCCGCGGGCGGTCCGCGCTGCACGCCGCGGCGCGGAGCGGTCACGAGGGGATCTGCCACGTGCTACTGACGTACCAGGCCGACGTGAACGCCCGCGACGGCCTAGGGCGGTCCGCGCTGCAGCTGGCGGCGGCCGCAAACCACAAGGCCGTGTGCGGTCTGCTGCTCTCGCAAGGAGCCAACGTGCGCCTCAAGGACCTTCACGAAAACAGCCCGCTGCTCTCCGCGGCGGCCTTCGGGCACGAGGATGTTTGCTCGCTGCTGCTGGAGAACGGCGCCGATGTCAAGGCTGCCAACTGCTGCGGGATGACGCCGCTGCACGCGGCCTCCAAAGGCGGCCATGAAGGCGTGTGTCGACTGCTTCTGGAGCACCAGTTGGATGTGAATGCGGAAGACGCGCGATGTCTAGCTGCGTTGGACTACGCGACAAATCCCGAAATTTACAGGCTGTTGAAGAGTAGAGGAGGGAAGCGGAAAAGTCTTGCCAAGGAACCGGCAAGAAACACTACATTTTCAAGAATTCTTCTTAAATTTTGCCCATGGTTTGGTGCAATTATGACAGGGAAAATTCACTGAGGACTGCAAGATAGAAAGCTGAAATTCATTCTACTGAGAGTGCACTTTCATCTGAGTGAACACATGTTATTTATAATTTTCAATCGTTTTCCATTTTTTGCATAATCAAGATAATACGTGATTTACTTATAAAGTTATTTGAAGCCGTTAACGTTAATTCCTATAATTCTGTGATAAATTCAAGAATATTTTATTATAAAAGGGAATAGAAAATCCATTCATTAACATAAAAAGAGATGAACTAAATAAGATGGTGTACCATTTTACTTCCCAATGCACTTTGTTAATTCGCTAGTTTCTGAACAAAGTAATTTGCCGAAACAATATAGTGTTAAAATGTAATGTGTAAAATCTTAAAATGTACTGTGTAAAAACTCTTCTAGAATACTATTCAGAGGAAAAGTGTTGCACTTTTTTAATTTATTCACAATTTTAGTTTAGGTACAAGATGTGTGTATGCATTGATGTAAATAAAAAATATGCTAAGTATAAAAGTTTGTGTTAATAGATGTTTCCTTGATAGTGAATGCAGGTGTCGTAATTAACATTACCTAAATTCAGTAAATTATTAAAGCGAAATCGAATTTGTAAAAATGTTCCACTAATTTAATTAAAATTTATAATTTTGCAATTTGGATTGAAAGTAAAGTTGAATTTTAAAATGCACCGTTTTCGTATCTTATGTGTGACTATTTAATGATTTTGGAACGTTGTAATATAAATTTATGTTTAACTCAGATTTTGAATTAGAAAGAAATTCTGAAAATTTTAAAGAATTAACAGTGATAAAATAATGTTTTTAGTGGAAATAACGAAAGATAGTTTGTTTAGTACGTTGGAAAAATAGAGGTGCATTATTAAGTACCTTTACAGTAAAATACATGAAACTAAAACATTTAAGGAACGCGGTAAGTTAGTCATAAAATTTTTGAATATGAAACTAATTATTGCATTTTCACCTTCTCAGCGAGGTTAGCTTGCAATAAACTAACCATGGCGCCAAGATGAATACGCAAGAAACATCACAAGAATGTTCCAAAATGGTGTTCCAAGGCTTGACTATCTATGAAGCTCTAATGGCACGTAGGCGGAACCGAGAGATACCAAATCGATTTTCGGCCGGAACATTCTATTATTCTGAACAGTTTGCACGTTTAAATAAATGAATAAACTCTAAAATTACAATCAGAAATTGAATTAGCATAAAACGTCTAATGATCACGCAATGTCGCTTAATATTTTTTCATGTTGAAAATCAACAGAAACCAAATGCTCATAAAGCATTTTCACAGCAGAAGTAATGGTTAATAAATGTTTAGATTAAAATGAATTTACATTCCCCTTTTGTTTACTGTGAAAGAAAATCTACGCATAATGGTGATAATTCATTCATTATCATCCCTCATTCTGCGACTTGCAATATAACATTAATTTAGAGTCTAATAGTTTAAGATACAATTCAGAAATACTACTATTTCAAGAATAATTGATCTGAAAAATTAATGGAATCGTATTTGCATCAAGCATTCTAAAGATATATATACAAATTTTCATTAACTTATAATACATGCTGTTTTCAAGTTTTCAAAATTCTTTCATCTATTTTTCTTCTTCCCTGGTTCCTCTCCCAAACTTTCCCGAATTCGGGATGCGTTCAAAATGTTCCGTTCCCCGAATATCTTTTTCCTGAATATATTGTAAGCAGCAGACATTCTTTCGACGAGCAGTAAGGGTAAAAGGAATAATGAATTTCTCGATATTGATTCATCGCCGTTGCAAATAATTAAAATTTCCAAAGTGTTTTCATTTCGTCTCCCTTCTGCGACGTTTTACAGAACTTTTCTCAATACCTCTGAATGCGCTCTCCATTTCGGAGTTTTAATTAACTTGCGCAATTAAATAATTGCAGAAATATAAAGTTTGTTTGACAAATCAATGAAAGAGAAAGAAGAACAGTCTTCTGGGAGCATAGAGAACGGAAACAACCGGCAGGGTCCCCGCGTAGCTGACACAAAAATGAATCCGGATTCCCAAATGTGCAGAAAGGAAGTCGACTTTACAATTACTAGCAGATATTACTTCATAATTAAGTTTATAGGAACTTCAAAATTGTGAGAGCTGCAAGAACAATAGCTTGTGAGACAATATTTTGAAATATTATGTTTCTCACCCGTATGTTTACGGCGAAACTTAATAAAATATTTTTTTTTTGCGTCGAGATACTAGTGCTGATTTTTTAAAGAAAATAATTTGTTGTCTCCGCCAACATGAAGCAGTTTTTGATGATTTATTGATTAATTATATTTACGGACTTTATTGGATGCATGCTATTTGATTGCACTACTTACAATACGTGTAATACATAGGTACATTAGGTACTGACCTGCATTTAACATTCAATAAATCCACATTTAATTTACTGGTATAATATTTGTTTTTTCATCGCCTGGATGTCCTTATATAGACAATTAGCATTCATAAATGGGTACATGAAATGTCTATGATTTATATTGTCTTATTATATTACCAATAATATAATATAAGAGTATACATGTGTTGTTGATTAATTTTTCATAAAACCATGTACTACAAAGGTAATTTCATAATTTTTATATGGTTTTATTTTATGTTATTTGTTCTTACTTATTTATTTACGCAGATCAGCAACTTTAGAGGAATTATTTACTAATCAAAATGTAAATTCAAAAACCAAAAGGAAATAAAAATGTATTCACATAACTAAAGTAAAATCGTCCTAGATCCAAAAATGTTTAACCAAACAAAAGTTTAACACACGGCAATTTTAGGTTTCAATGTCTTCCAATGAAATATTGAAATTTTGAAGCATTCACTGCAAAACCGTTTTTACACACCATCCATTAATAACAAACTATCAAATAATCATACTATTCCCGAAAGAACATTATAGTTTCATTTCATTTCTGGAAGCAGTTTAAATATCTCTCATTCATATTAATAATATACTTAATATTAATATTGTATTTGTCTTCTCTATACATAGACAAAGCACTTCTAAATATCCGGTCGCGCATCAACCATCCATTACAGAAACGAAAATGTTTAGGTTAACAGTTATTTTCGCCCAGCAGAATTGATGTGATATAGCTTTTTATGTAAAAATAAAATATGCATTTCCACAGTTTTCCTGGTGCCTTTTCAAATCGAAGTTTCTTATGACCACAATCCAATGAAATATAGCTTGATCCAAGCACTACACACTACCACATTTGCATGTTTTCTATTCTGAGGTCAGCAGAAACAGACTTCACCGACACAACACACAAAGGAGATTGGGGTTTAAAACTGCTAACCCTGGTATTGACAGGTTCATTCGTTATGTGCCCAGATGCATGTGAGTCATTTTTATGTTTTAATCATAATAAAAGAAACACTGACGTAAATAAGAATAAATATTATATCATTGAACAATGAGCTCCTGCGTGCATGAATTAGCTACTATTAACTTCGGAAGTGGCCTTTGTAAGCATGAACTTTTACAAAACTGAGATTACTAAAATCAGCAAATATTTACAACATAAGAGAACAGAGTTATGTGAAATTTTCCGTGAAATTACAACGATACGAAATGGTTGCTGGTTTTAAAACTAAAATTGTAGCAATGTTCTACTCTTTTTATCTTATGTAAAATACGTGGTACTATCCAAGACAAGGCTTGTACAGACCGGTCTGCTTTATTTTTCAATCAGTGACATCCACGAAGCCAGCGACGTGAAACAGAAAAGTAGAAGTCGAAAACCTGAAAATTGAACACGAGCAACCTAAAGAAATGGCTATGTCGAGGAAGAATGGAGGAGATGGAGAGTGAGTAAAAAGTTTAATATCTGAGAGCGAAGAATTCAAACTGCTCATTGCGACGGTGTGACGCATCGGGGTGACGTCGAGTCAGTCGCTGCCGTTGGAGTGCCGTTGGAGACGTCTTTTCTCTCCCTCGAACCCTTAGTCTTTCACGAAAAAGGAACACAGGTCGCTTCCTTTCTAATAGACTCTGCAAAGCCCACAGCCAGTTACAACGCCAGCGCATATCATTTCAACGAATACGAGCGCTAAAATGCCCGTTCACTACCGATATATTGGGTGTCAAGGTGTTTGTAATGGTCTCAAAAGTTATAAGTTTTAATTTTATACATCGTTATATTTAAAACGTGAAACAATGAAAATTAATTTTCAGAGCAGTTCAACAATACTATCTTGTGTCGCGACGAATTTGATGGTTTTTACAGTAGCCGTTTTTTCACAAAAAAATACAGTTTTACCAAAAATACAATAAAAAACCTACCCTAAGACCCTATATTTTTGAATTATCTTGTAACATTGTTTTTACTTTCACTAGACAATGGTATTAATCCCAAACAGTTAACAGTAAAATGTTTTAAACAAATAATATGATATTTTCTTGTTTTTCTCGAAACAAACTAGTATGGAAAAGTCTCATTTTGACACTAGACCCGTCATTTAATATTATTACACGTTTAATAATATTGCAATTTGAAAACGTTATTGAACAACAATGTTTAATAATGTTTTATAATTTCAATATCAGTAAACGTTTATTGTGAGTTTGTGCTTAAATCATCCAATAGTCAGTTTGAAGTAAAAAGCTAAAATTCAAATGATTCATTTGAGAGTCACCGCGTGTAGTCGAATAAGCACTAGAGCGTTTGCCGTAGGGTTAATTCCTCTGAACATTTCTAACATTTTGGGGCAATTTTCACAGGTAATGTCACGAGTGCTTTGGAAATTGTCGACAAATCCCCGAATCGCAAAGCGAGGAGTGTATTTATCTGAGAATTTCCAAAGCACGAGTGGTATTTAATAGGACTATTCCACAAATGAAATTATGTCGAACAGAGTTCTAAAATGCAACAAATATTGAAAATAACTGAAAACGTATGTTAAAGTCAGATGTTATGTTATAGTACATACGCGGTTTATTGGACATCGACGTAGCGATCGATGTACATTGCCTCCTTAAATAGAAAAAACAGTTTATGATTGGCCAGTAGGGAGCAGCGGTAAGAACAATCGAACAGAAAATGCGATAACGTTTTTAATATACACCGTCCAGATTGAGAATTCTGAATATATAGTTAAACACTATTGGTTTTAATTTCTCGGATTGAATAGCCAAAATAAAAATCGGAGAGATCGGGAAGAAATCCAACTTTGCCAAAACGGTGAACCCTTGCACCTATTCCAAGGTGACGAAATTGCATCGTTTTCGTGGAATCGACATTTTGAAAAGCGAGCAATTAAAGCGTGAAAGCAAAATCCACTGTATAATAGAGCAGGTGAATGCCGTCAGGCAGCGCTGCGAAACCGGGTGGCGAGTTGAAACGGTTCGGCGTCAGTGGAGCCCCTACACGCTGTTCTCGGAGGGGTGGTGAAAGGCCTAAAACTACCAGTGGTGCGCAAGCAGCTGCGTGGAGAACAGGGCAGGCGAGCCCTTGGGTGGAAGTCAAACGAGAAAAGGACCTTTTAACGTTCGTTACACCGATGGATACGACAAACGGCTCTGGATTTGGTCTCTCAGGTTAGTTGTTTTGGAGTTCGTGATTAAATGATGGCCTAAAAATCATTTGAAAATGACCTACGCAGTGTCTTAAAAATAAGAGTGACATAACCTAAAAGGATCTCAAATAAGGGAAAAATTACCTAATATTTCAAAATATACTAAAAAAATGTATTTATTCAATGAATTTTACAAATATAAATAAAATTTATTATTTATATAAAATTATTTTAATATTTTTTTACTTTACTTTAGAAGGAAATGTAATCCTTAGCTTCGATCTTCTAACCGCCAGTATTGAAAGGTCGAAGAAGTTACGCAATATACGAGTAATTTTCAGAGTTTGAAAAACAGAGTTTATGTACTGATGATACAATAAAACTTTGTTTGTGTATAACAGTAAATTCATGAAATATTGAGTAAAAACACGAAAAGAAAAAATGTGTAAAAGTGACAAAAATGACAAATGGCCAACAAATTTTGAAAATGGCAAAAAATGACCCAAAATACAGTGACTACACATTTCTTTCATCCATACGTCGTGATAAACGTTTATTTGAAAGTTAGCTGCGTCTAGAGTGCACCAATGAAAAGATGGCATGTCATAAGAATCCTTGCCCTGGTGATTTATTTGGGTATAAACTCCCTCCGTCACATGTAGAATAATCCTAGCTCAAAATAAGCTAGTACATTGTTCTGCTCTGGACAATACCATATTGTGAAGGCTTATAATCACTCCGTGAGTAAATTAGTTCAAGTTTGTTAATGCAATACTGTTTACGATACACAAGATTTGGGTGTAGAGGTTAATTGTTCTGTAACCCGCCTCCGTTTACGAATAGACTCGATTACGTGAATCTGGGGAACGAGAACGAAGATCGGTAGATAGAGAATTCGTGCGAACGAAGGAATCCGAAATTTGGAGTTGCGTATAATTTTGTGTGATTGTAAGGACTCTCAGCGAATGATCAGATTCCAATATTTGAATGTATGTACAGGTATAATGCGCACATTAGGTTGTTCAATTTCTTTTGGACATGTTAAAACTTCTTTAATCTGATATTTCAATCAAATTTTACTTTTCTATAAGGTTTCACGGTGACTGAACAATCTTAACTATTTTATTTATTTAAAATTTTTCCCTCATAATACGAAAAAAATATTGGTGTCCAACACAGATTCACGTCTTTAAACGTTGATTATAGAAACTAGTATGAAAGTAATAGTACGAACACATAACAAACTTTCTCAATTACTTTTGAGATGTTAAAATATGTACACTATTAATAGATTCAAAGGTAATGAAATAACTGGTCGGCATAACATTTTTACTTCTACATTTGAATAAAAATTGTGTAATAAAATTCGATATTTCCATTCTTATTTATTATAGTATATTAATTTGATTTATTTACAGTAGAACATACTGACAGCATCATTAATATAATATGTTCACTCACCAGTGATAATTTCAAGGTACCTAGTGGAGCCAGGGATGATTCCGAACTTCGCAGTGATCAAACACCACCTGGAACACAAGGCATACAATCGCCATGATTAAGCGTCAATGACAGCCTCTCTGTCCGCTGGGGGAGGGGGTGGGGGTTACTGGGAAGCGAGTTCACGACCCGAGCGCCCCCCGGTTACCTCACTTGCCCTCGGTCCCCACCTCGTCCTCCCCACCTCGTGGCCCCCGCCCCGCCCCGCCCCGCCCCGCCCCGCCCCGCCCCGCCCCGCCCCTCCCCGCCCCTACGTCATCCCCCCTTCCTCGCCTACCCCGCCCCACACTACCCCACTCTCATTACCCACCCCACCCACCCAGTCCCGCCCCACCCCACCCCACCCTACTCCACCCCGTCCGGCCACACTCCACAACGGATCAGAGATGTCGGTCGCTAGAATTGTCCTCCATACAGCGACCGACCTCGACCTAGCTGACAAGCTCGTGTCAAAATCTTGCCGTCGTCGGGATTCGAATCCTAGAACCTCCTGGTCAGAGATATTGTGATATCAATGACGTTAGTTGATAACCTGAGCCACCTTTGCCTGTCAATCGGAAGACACGGGTCTCCCTGCCACGTACTTTACACTCATACCGCCACCTCACTGAGATAATCCACTAATAATTCTATCATTTTTATCATTTCTAGGGGAATACTGATTAGAAATTACGGAAGTGGCCTACAAACGTGATTCACTCCTGAAAATTATGAATCATGCAATAGTGCTCTTTTACGAATGACATTGGCACGATCACTGTAGGGCCAGAGACAAGAATTTCCAAGCCCCCGTTCGTGACCAATGCTCCTTCCCGTTCCCCTTCCACCCCAGCGTCCTAGTTAGTGTTCGTCTCCCCGCCTCTCCCCTGTCCTTTCCGCCGGCCGCTGCCTACGCGGCGCGGCGCGGACGTCAGCGTGGAGTACTGCGGACACTAATTCGCCCGACGACGTCTTGGACTAATTAGAATGCTAATCGACTCCCGCGAGATTTGACGGGCCGCGCGGTCACGTATTTACGTTAAGCTGAATTAGGCCGCGAAGACTTTGACGTGAATTTGGTTTTGCTCTTGTATTCGCCGCTTGTAATCTGACAAATAATGCTTCGAGCCTTCGTGTTTTGGTGACGTGAACATGAAATAGGTGGACGTGTGGAGAGGGGTCATATTATAGGCTAGCGTACGTAGATGGCGCTACAACATACCAAGATTTTTTGCGCGCTTTATATTAAACTATGCAATGCTAACACGGTCAAACTCTACACTACTATAATATTACTAGTTCTATAAATTTACTATCTGCGGTTTTAACATACATACATTTTTTAGAGTCAAGAATGGATACATACAGGACATTTGATTCATTTCCTAACTATGGCTGCCTTGAATGGGTGAGTAGATACTTTTGGTTTATTTTAATATTTTTATTGTTTGGGAAGTGAATTGAACTAAAGACGATGTTCGTAGATGTGTTTATATCTGTTTATATCATTGATAGCATACCATTGGAGACGAATATGTTGCTTTATTATGGTGGTCTGAATCTGTCTTTAAGGAAACGTGAATTTGTACGTGTGCTTGATTTCATGCAGGTCCAAGGTTAAATATGACTGGGGAATGTGGAGAGCCATGAAACAAATTTTTCGAAAAGTTTGGTAATGGGGTCTCACTGTTATCATTTGCAGTTCATGGTGAATTTGCTAGTTCAAAATGAACTACAGAGCTTTAATGATTCTCAGAGCTTTATTCTGAATGATATGCAGAATGTTTACATTAAATTTGTTGCATTTTTTATACCAGGCAAGCGAACGTTATGGTTGGTGTAATTATCAATTTGTAAATTAACGTTCCGGTCTTTATTTCAATACATGTTTTCATTAATTAGTACTTAAATCTGGGATATTTTTTTCCGTCCTATTGGTCCTATGTGTGAATGTGTTTTTTCCACATTTGTTTTATAACTTCTCGTTTTCCTAGATACTTGGCTACTGTTTGGCTTAGTACTCATGGGTATTTTCATTGCGCATAATTAACTGGATTGGGGTATTGGAATAACTTAGGTGAAACGTTTCGCCTACGTTTTGTCTAAATTAATATAAAACGCGTAACTCATTCAATGAATATGTTGATGTTGTCCTGAAAGTTATTCTTAGCTGTGATTATATACCCCTTGTAAAAAGCGCCATCTTGTGTGCGTAGAATTCTATTTGCGAATTTGTTAGTTGTGAATTGTAATAAAAAATATAATTTGAATAACACCTTTTATAATAGAGAATCTTAAGGTACATCTGCTGAAATCTGATATGGGTGATAGGACATCGTTAATTTTTACTCGGAGCTTTCTTTTATAAAAAATGAATTGTTTGTTTTAAGAAGTCTGGAGTGCCTGTTTGTTTTAGTAGAGAAGGCCTCGATGCCATATTTTGTCAAAGGCTTTGGTTATGTCTAGAAATTTTGTGATAGTGTGCTGTTTGGTATGGAATCCTTGTGCTAGTATTCAGTTATTAGTAATATTTGGTGTGTTACAGTGTCTAAATCCAAATTGTGTATCTGGAATTACTTGTGTGAAAAAAAATGTATTAATCATTTTAATATCTGTTTCTCTATTAGTTTAGACAATGAGGGGATCAGAAATACTCATTGGTCTATAGTAAAACGGATATTTGGAAATTTCCATGATTTACGGAAAAACATCATTGTAACAGCTTCACAAATGCGGAAGTATCTAGTCTGAGGTTTGTTTCATATTGTTGTAATGCGGTAATTTGTATAGCGTTTTCTGATTATATATCTCCACTCCTTTTATTAAAACGTTATCGATTGTGCTTGGTGTACACTTGGCTTCTCTTTTCTAGGTAGTCAACTACAGGTGATCCATTTCCAATTTCGAAATTTGTCTCTTGAGAGCCAAATTGAATTAGTAGAATTTTTTGTCTTTGTCTTTTTATTATTTTGTAGTGGATCATCTATACTGAGATGATAGGAAACTTTGTTCTAAAAAAGTCTCAAATCATGCTTACCTATGTTGGTCTTGTTTTGTTTTAACGAGTCTCGTCAGCTTGTTTAATTTTCTTTTAAGACAGTCGCTAGTAAAAGCGGCTACTTTCAGGGCATGGACAGCATACTAAAAGTTCAATTTTTATCACTTGAGCTTAAAGTGAGACCATGCTCAAAAGTTCAGATAAAACGGTGAATGCAATAAAGAAAACAATGTACTTTCGTCTGTGTGCATCAGCTTAGTTCACAATTATGATGTGCATTTGTATTCATTTTTAAACAAAAGGAAAGTCCGTACAGCAGTCTAATAAAGTGTATCGCACTCCGGGTAAAAGTGAACTTATTTTCCTCGTAGGATTTCGCAACTCGGCCTATCGGCGTCGGGTCGCAATACTTCCTACTTGCAAAATAAAATATTACTTTTACCACTCTTATCATAAGTAACTATTACAAGTTTTCCTGTCATGTCATTTTCCAATGGTCAAATGTCATATGCCCATTGCTTTTACCTACGTTTATAGTGTTAGAATTAGTTGGTTGTTCATCAAAATCGTTTTTCTAAGATATGTAGTAGAATTCTTATAAGTTGTTAACAAATCGTTTCTCTTCATAATGTAGGGTCATTGGCGGATTATATGTTGTGCAAATGTCTGTAGCTGATACTTTTAAATTCTTTCCGAATTTAAACCAGTTTTTTTCTTTCTTGCTATTTGTAAAAAGACAATAAATAGATCCTGAGGGTGAAATGATGTTATCCGATTCAAGTTTTGAAAATTGTTTGTGATTAATAGGAAAATCGATAGGTTTTGTGACTATATCTGGACTGGAATTCTCAAATTACGGTGGTAGCGAGATTTAGTTAATTTTGCACCTATAGTGTTATGTTGCATCCGTAAGTGCTATTAAAATCATACAAATTACGTTATTGCTTACAAAAAATATTTTGGGAGTTATATATTTTTATGGGAAATACTGTATTATGTGGTTTGCATGCCGCTAATATGGCTGTATCTTTGTTATTTTTTGTTTATTGCTATAGTTTCTAGGTTGTTGCTCATAGGACTATTAATAAAATATGTTTTATATCTTTGTGCACTAGTATTGCTACTTCCCCTGCAGGTGTCGCCTGGAGACCGTCGTTACTATCTATCTATCTATCTATCTATCTATCATAGACAGATATATAGAAATAATCAGGGCTGTCCGACTGGCGGTTTTCGGTGCAATTTATTAAATTCGTTTGGAGGAATACCATTGCATAGTTATTTAAAGTGACGAAACGTGGGGAGAGTAGGGTCTTAATAAAAATATTTGCAGTCGTTTTGATAGCTTTTAAATGGATTACAAGCTGAGCGGTTCAGCTGTCGTTCAGATTTAAGTAACTCTGGATATGGGCTCTTAATTCATCGCTGGCTGTGATAGTGTTGTCGGGAAATTGTGCAACCGGGATTTTACTTTCTCGTACACGTACGTATACACGAAGTAATATATGTAGTATAGAAAAAATTGTTTTGCTGCCGAAAATCGATTTCGAGATTTCATCGGAAATACACTTTTTTGGGTCCACTGATAACGACAAAAGGTTTTGTTTTGTTTTTTTCAAAATGACCTTCAGTCCGGTGTATGTGAACAACACAAGCGCGTAAACTATGTCCACTATTTTTCCACAACTGAACAATCCCCTGTCGATCTGGCTGGATTTTGAGAAACATTCATTAATTTTGGGGAGTACTTTACATAAAGCCTCTGGGACATTTTCAAAATTTTATCAAAAACGGCACCAAATTCTTTGTTTAAATTTATTGTACGAAGAGAGTAAAATACACATAAAGTTAGTATCGGCCCGATTTTCACTGATTACGCTGAATTTTTGAAAATTGCAAACGTTTGTTTTTTTTCGTCGTCTTCCTGCAACCTCAAAATTAAAGACCGAGATTTTTCTTTCAAGAATATGTTTTTTCTTCTTAATTAGTACTTTCATTAAGATCATACAATTTTTTGAAACATTTTTTAGTTTTTGCGCAATATGTACAATTTTAAATAACGAAAACAAAATATTATCGAA